TTAGAGTCCAGTTCAATCCAGTTACAGTCCAGTTATAGTCCAGTTCAATCACTTATGGTCCAGTTCAATCAATTATAGTCCAGTCCTGCCGTGTGCAGGCCTGCAGCCCTTCGCAGAGCCCCCCCCCCCAGCAGCCGCCCCCCCAGTGGCCCCCCGGGCGGCTGCTGCTCCAGCCCCAGCTTCCACTCGCTGGGGCCCAGCACCCTCCACGCCCAGCAAGCCCCGCCGGACAGGAGGGGCCCCGCCAAGGTGGGTCTGTGGGAGGGGCCAGTAGGGCTGCCCAGTCACCTACTGGGCAGTTAGTCCAGTTAGTCCAGCTCAGTCCACTTATAATACAGTTCAGCCCAATTATAGTCCAGTTATAGGCCAGTGAAGTCACATTATTGTTAAATTAAATCCAATTATTGTCTAATTTAATCAATTAGATTCCAGTTCCATTCAGTCTAGTTAAGTCCAATTATAGTCCAGTTCAATCAATTATAGTCAAATTAAATCCAATTATAGTTCAGTTAAATCCAATTATGTTCCAATTCATTAAATTATAATCAAATTAAATCCAGTTATAGTTCAGTTAAATCCAATTATGGTCCAGTTCAATCAGATTATAGTCCAGTACAATGAAATTATAGTCCAGTTCGATCAGTTATAGTCCAGTTAAATCAATTATGGTCCCTTTAGATAAATTATGGTCCAGTTTAATCCAGTAATGGTCTAGTTCAATCAATTATGGTCCAGTTCATTCAATTATGGTCCGGTTCAATCCAGTTATAGTCCGGTTCAATCCATTTATAGTCCAGTTAAATCTATCTGAAGTCCAGTTTTATCAGATATGGTCCAGTTCAATCAATTATAGTCCAGTTAAATCCAACTATAGTCCAGTTCAATCCGTTATGGTCCAGTACACTCCATTGTCCAATTCAATACGGTTATGGTCCAGTTAAATCAATTACGGTCCATTTAAATAAATTATGGTCCAGTTTAATCCAATAATGGTCCAGTTCAATCAAATATGGTCCAGTTCAATCCAGTTATGGTCCGGTTCAATCCAATTATGTCCAGTTAAATCCAGCTGTAGTCCAATTCAATCAATTATGGTCCAGTTCAATCAATCATAGTCAAGTTAAATCCAGCTATAGTCCAGTTCAATCAATTATGGTCCAGTACAATCCATTGTCCAGTTCAATCCAGTTATAGTCCGGTTCAATCCAAGTATAGTCTAGCTCAATCCAGTTACAGTCAACTTCAAACCGACTACAGTCCAGTTCAGTCCATTTAGTCCAGACTCAGTCCCTCCTGCCCCGCCAGCTGAGGCCTGACCGAGCATGTGGGCCTTCCCTCCCCAGGCGAGGCCTCCCCGGGGGAACAGGAACAGCGCCCCGCCGGGGGCCCTCACCCTCCTGGGTCAGTGTGGGGGTGGGCATGTGGTTAAAGGCCTCCATCTTTGTTCCTCCGGCCCCCCCCGCTCTGCCGTAAAGCTGCCCCTCCTTGCGGGCGTGTGCAGCATCGACCGGAGGTTCACCTACCACAGGGCCCCCCACTGCAGAGGTAGGGGGGGGGCTGACCTCTGACCTCTTACCCGGCCTCCTTCCACCTGCACACCCCCCCCCCCCCCCCCCCCCCCC